ATCTTCATGTTCTTCTTGGTGGTCTTCATCTCCATCATCTTCATGTTCTTGGTGGTCTTCATAATTTTCATGTTCTTCATCATCTTCATCTTCCCGAGGCGCTGCCCTCCATGCAGTTCTTCGTGGTGGGTGCCCATCCTCATCTTCATCTTCATCTTCATCCTGTTCTTCATGTTCTTCTTGGTGGTCTTCATCTTCATCATCTTCCTCATCTTCTCCACCACTTTCATCATCTTCTCCACCTTCGTCCTCCTCATTTCCACCACCTTCACCTTCATCTTCTCCACCTTCATCCTCCTCCTCCTCATCTCCACCACCTTCACCTTCATCTTCTCCACCTTCATCTTCTCCACCTTCATCTTCTTCCTCCTCATCTCCACCACCTTCATCTTCATCGTGTTCTCCACCTTCACCTTCATCATTTCCACCACCTTCACCTTCATCATCTTCTCCACCTTCATCTTCTCCACCTTCATCTTCATCCTCCTCATCTCCACCATCTTCACCTTCATCATCTTCTCCACCTTCATCTTCATCCTCCTCATCTCCACCACCTTCATCTTCCTCATCTTCTCCACCTTCATCTTCTCCACCTTCATCCTCTTCATCTCCACCACCTTCACCTTCATCATCTTCTCCACCTTCATCTTCACCTTCCTCATCTCCACCACCTTCACCTTCATCTTCTCCACCTTCATCTTCTCCACCTTCATCTTCTCCACCTTCATCTTCTCCACCTTCACCTTCATCATTTCCACCACCTTCACCTTCATCTTCTCCACCTTCATTTTCCTCCTCCTCATCTCCACCACCTTCACCTTCATCATCTTCTCCACCTTCATCTTCTCCACCTTCATCCTCCTCCTCCTCATCTCCACCATCTTCACCTTCATCATCTTCTCCACCTTCATCTTCCTCCTCCTCATCTCCACCACCTTCACCATCATCTCCTCCACCTTCATCCTCCTCCTCCTCCTGCAGGAGAACCCCAGCGAGGAGGACGCGGCCATCGTGGACAAGGTGCTGTCCATGCGCGTGGTCAAGAAGGAGGTGAGCGGCCGGGGCGGGGTGGCCGGAGCGGCCGGAGCGGCCGGACGTCCGGCCGGCCTTCCTCACCTCCTCCTCCTCCTCCTGGTGGTCCTCAGCTGCCCTCGGGTCAGGTGGTGGAGTCCGAGGAGTTCTTCGTCAAGTACAAGAACTAGTGAGTGTCCGAGCGCTCGTGGGCGGTCACTGGTGGTCACTCGGGGTCACTCGGGGTCACTGGTGGTCACTGGTGGTCACTCGGGGTCACTGGTGGTCACTCGGGGTCACTGGTGGTCACTGGTGGTCACCTGGGGTCATTTATGGTCATTTATGGTCAGTTATGGTCACTCGGGGTCACTGGTGGTCACTCAAGGTCACTTATGGTCAGTTATGGTCACTCGGGGCCACTGGTGGTCACCTGGGGTCATTTATGGTCAGTTGTGGTCATTCGTGGTCACTCGGGGTCAGTGGTGGTCACTCGGGGTCATTTATGGTCATTTATGGTCAGTTGTGGTCAGTTATGGTCACTCGGGGTCACTGGTGGTCACTCGGGGTCATTCGTGGTCACTCGGGGTTGGTGGTGGTCACTCGGGGTCACCTGGGGTCATTTATGGTCATTTATGGTCAGTTGTGGTCAGTTATGGTCACTTGGGGTCGGTGGTGGTCACTCGGGGTCATTCGTGGTCACTCGGGGTTAGTTATGGTCACTTGGGGTCATTTATGGTCAGTTATGGTCACTCATGGTCACTCGGGGTCACTCGGGGTCGGTGGTGGTCACTTGGGGTCATTTATGGTCATTTATGGTCACTGGTGGTCACTCGGGGTCACTGGTGGTCACTCGGGGTCATTTATGGTCAGTTATGGTCAGTTGTGGTCATTTATGGTCACTCGGGGTTGGTGGTGGTCACTCGGGGTCGGTGGTGGTCACTCGGGGTCGGTGGTGGTCACCTGGGGTCATTTATGGTCATTTATGGTCAGTTGTGGTCACTCGGGGTCGGTGGTGGTCACTCAAGGTCATTTATGGTCAGTTGTGGTCATTTATGGTCACTCGGGGTTGGTGGTGGTCACTCGGGGTCAGTGGTGGTCACTCGGGGTTGGTGGTGGTCACTCAGGGTCAGTTATGGTCAGTTGTGGTCAGTTATGGTCACTCATGGTCACTCATGGTCAGTTATGGCCACTTGTGGTCACTTGTGGTCACTGGGGGTCAGTTGTGGTCACTCATGGTCACTCAATGGTCATTTATGGTCAGTTATGGTCACTCATGGTCACTCATGGTCACTCATGGTCACTCATGGTCACTCATGGTCACTCAATGGTCAGTTATGGTCACTCATGGTCAGTTATGGTCACTCATGGTCACTCATGGTCACTCATGGTCACTCATGGTCACTCATGGTCACTCAATGGTCAGTTATGGTCACTC